GAACCTCCCGTGACTTATTATGATAAAAGCAACAAAAACAAAATAACTTAACAAGGATCAGTTGAAATACGCGACTTACAATTGCTAGTAATAAAACCACAAGACAGATACCGTTTTAAAAACTTTATTAAAAAGCAATAACAAAAAAATGAGTCAAATACACAGCGATTTGAAAGGAAAGCGAATAAAAATTAATCCTTTGACTGACTATTACAAATCCGTTTTTTCCGTTCTATTTCGAGGAATAATAAATATCCTTCCGAGTCTACACAATTTTCCTATGGCCTCTAAGACAAGAGTTCGACTTTCTTTGTTTCCTGCACTTTGTCTTGTTCTTTGTAGTCGGTCTTTTAGCTTTTGCTTTAAAAGAGGCCTCATTTCTCTGTGATCTTGACAGTTCGCAGTACACCGTTTCTTGTGTCTGTACTGGATTGCGACAGTGATTTTTTCCGGAATTATCCGATTCACAATTCGTAAACGACGACTTCAACTTTAGGTTGCAGTTTTGCCTCTTGTAAATACTGTCTTCGCTGTAAGTGCTCTAACTGATGAACATCCGCGAGATGGTTAGCTAATCTTACAAGGTACTTCGCCCCACACGATGAAATAGGTCAGTTTCTGCAAACTCTCTTGTAAACTGAACGGGCAAGGGCCAATTCCAAAAACACAACACGTTCACGATCAGCAAATGTTTTTACTATTAACGAACCATAAAAGTAAATTCCTACAAAGAGCGAAATAATAATAGTTACAATACAGAAAAACTACTTTAAGGCGACTGCAAAATGAAATTAATGAAAAACGATATGAAAACGAAGCTGCTTACCAAATGCTGAGGATGACAGTGTTGGTGGTCAGGGCCACCGAGGAAAAAAATCTACTTCCACTAATGCTGTTACACTAATAGACACGTTAACTGGTAATTAAAAAAGGGCGAGATAACAAACTATAACGAAATTTACATACAGCACGTAACAAAGGAACGTAATTAACGAAATACCGGAGAGCGAAAAGAAAAAGAATACACGATAACAATTAGTAAGTGAGAAAACGAAAAGCAAAAGGAAAAAAACTCGCCCTAACATAAACCATGTTGACAGTTCGATGGCTGAACGCATATGACATCTTTTTCGCCAATAGTCAGGTTATATAGAGTGTCAGAAAGCCCAAACACAGGCTAGAAAGGCCATAACCAGGCCTGAAAGGCCAAAACCAGGCCAAAAGGGACAAAAGGAGACAAACGGGCCATTTCTAGTGATGTATCTTTATTTTTCTCAAACTCACGCGTGGGTGTCGCGCGTCGCTAGTCACGCAACAGCTCTCGACTTTTTTGAAAGTCTACTTTATTCAATGTAATCACAAATAACAGTGCCTAATTAAGAACGTTTTTCATAGACTATAGAAAATAGCTGATCATGTCAAAAAAAACATTTCTAATTTAAGCTGATGATGTCATCTCCCCAGTTACCATATTAAATGATTATTTTGATGATGATCTCATCGTTTTTTGATGACGTCAATTCCCTAGATTGTTATACAGTGAAACCTGTATTAGCGGACACCGTATTAAGCGGACACCCTCTATTAAACGGACAGTAGCCGAAGTCCCAAAATTTGTGTCTCTTATTTACTTTAAATGAAACCTTTATTAAGCGCACACCTCCGTTAAGCGGACGCGGACACCTAAAAAGTACCTGAAATGGTCATTTCCATTGTTGCCAACCTTTATTAAACGGACACTTTTAATTAAATTCCACCATCCAACATGCCAGACACCGGAAATTTGAAAGATTGCCTCGAATTGCCACCTACAAATTTTTCGATTTTTTGCATTTAAAAACTTGACTTGACGAACTTATTTGATTAGATTCACCGTACTGTATTGTTTTCTATTTCGTTTTGTTTGTATAAAGCTTTTTTCACTCATCTGATTTCTTCAAATCTGAGTTGCAATCGTTGTTTATGGTACTATGATCAATTGGTTAACTTTGAAAAAGAAATTAAAGTAAACGTTTATCGTCACAGTCTCTGGGAGCATTCTAAACGTTTCCATTGTTCATTTGAATAGCATTTAATACCTCATATGACGTTATCTATCGAAACCTGTACTAGGGGGACACCCTGTATTAAGGGGACACTACAGCATTCCCCGACGGTGTCCGCTTAATACAGGTTTCACTGTACAGAATACCTTTCTATTTTTAGATGATGATCTCATCATTTTAATCCCCTGAGCTATTGTGACGTCACTCCACCACCTCCACCACTGCGCAGAACCCCCCGTCTATAACTACTAATTTACATTGAACGAGTCCGATAAGGAGCTTAAGGCATCGTTAATTGGTGTCAAATTCTAGGACGGCTGCCGAGGTATCAGCAGTATATTTACATAGTTATATCATCCGCGTATAATCTTAGCGAGGTATCTGAGCAAAGTGATTTAAGACGCTTTAAAAGATATTGAACAGGAGAGGGAAAAGAACAGAGCCTTGGGGAACACCAGCATTGATGTCTCTCCACTGTGAAAATGTTCCTTCTATCTTAAATCTTTGTTGTCGACCCTTAGGCGGCTAACGAGTCCAGAGCACTATCTGTCAGCCCATACGCCTTAAGCTTGGCCAAAAGGAGATTGTGACAGACAGAGTCAAACGCTTTGCTTAGGTCGACCGCTACGACGGCAACATTAACTTCGTTGGTCAAAATAAATGCGCCAGTCTTCGGTCATCTTTAAAAGAGCAGATCGAACAGGATAAGTTACCTTTAAGGAAGCCAGAAAGGTTTAATGTAAAGTGTGGTCGAATGTAGCCACATAATTGGACATAAATAAATAACTCTCTCGTACAATTCAGCCATGCTTCCAAGCACAGAAACAGGTCTGTAGCTTTTCTTGTCTGTTGCATTATGGTTTTTGAAGATAGGCGAGACATTGGTTCTTTTCAATTCCAATATCCAATCGCGTTTCTCAATAAATTTATTAATCAACTTGACCACTTCTTCTGCTTTTGCCGGAGCAGACAGCGATAGAACTCGAGGAGAATTGTTGTCAACGCCCACTGATTTACTTCGGTCTAAATCTTTCAAGGCTTTTTTTATAAAGACTAAGTCGACTGGTTGGAAAGAAAGCAGTCTTTCATGATGCCATTTTTCAGTGATCTTTTGAACACTAGGATCTGATTAAAATCAGACAAAGTCTTAAGGAAGATAGCAATAGTTAAGTACAGAGTCAAGTATAATTTATGCCCTTACTATATATCTGATATTTTTTATTTAATAACCAACCGAAGTTATAGCCTGAGAAATTCAGACAATTTTATGATTCTAGTATGCATACTACTCCCTCTGGGAACTACAGTATTAGATATATTGGTCCTATAATATGGTACAAACTAAGGGACTTGTCAGAGATTAGCAGGGAGGAAAGGGGTGGGAATTTTAAATTTGGGTTCGGAAATGAGGTGACCCATCTCTGCAATGGGAGTGAAATTTGCTAACCCTTCCCTTGACCTTGGCCTAAAATATCATGACCCTCCCCCTCTTAAATGATAAAATCTAGTTCTTGCAATACATTAGGATGAGTCAGTATTATGAAAGCTCAAAATATAGTCTAATCTGTTCTTTCTAATGCCATATACATACACTTTAGATGGCAGCATTAAGAGTCCGACTCTGATTCTGACAGCTCATCACTCGACTCTCCTATTTCTCCCAGGTTATTTTACAAAAAAAAAGAACTTCTGTTTTCTTCTGCGGGTGAACCTCTACATGATCACGGACACATATTTCATGACCCTTACCCATTTAACAGCCCATTTTTCATGACCCCTCCCTTTTCCGCAGTCTCAAAAAGTTGTGACCTTCCCTCTGTTTCCACCCCCCCCCCCCTGCTAATTTCTGACAAGTGCCTAAGTATGCGCATTAAGAGCGCTGAAACACTTGCTTCTTTTAAGAACCAGCAGGTGAGAGAAGTGGACATTGAGAACCACCCAAGAACTCTCACCTGTAAGAACAGTAACTTGTGTAACTCTTAGAATAAATAATGGGACGGTTAGGGTTTTCGAGTTTGTATGTTCGTTTGTGTGTGTGTGTTTTTTAAATCTAGTTAGGTGTTCACAATTAGTTTACAGTGCGTGTAAGCTAGGCATTTTGACTCGTTTATGAAGTCTTTATTGGTAATGTGAGCCTGTATCACGGTAACGCTGTTCGATGCATTTATTGATCTCAAGACGACAGCCATGGTTAGTAAAAAGTCTAGACTGGAAACTAGCGGACGCGATTGGTTAAAATTAAACATAATTTACAATTACTGGATTCGACCTTCGCCCAATCCTCCATAGATTCCCCCTCCCAGTAAGGACTGTGGTGTCATATGTCGGTTCCTTGTATGTTTGAATTCATATCTACCATTCAATGCTGTCAGTTATAAAATGTGCTTGAAGAAATGCTTTTTCATTTTTTCCCTTACTTTGCTTTTCCTTTGTTTTGACCATGATATGGATGTTCAATATTAGAGATGTACATGTAGGCTGGCGTTGGCTAATGCAAGCTTTCATGATATGCATGCCTTGCCTGGTCCTTTCAGTGTGCTACTAACTATATGAAAATGGGTGGCCAGGCTTGCAAGACATGAGCAATTATAATCACATCATTCTAAACATAAAACAGTGCAACCCTCATCAAACAGTTTTCACCTACAGGCACGTCAAGAGAGGAACTACACAACAGCTGGCAAAGCCTAGAGACAAATTGTCATATTCAGTAATTAATAGTAACTGAATTTCTGCACATAAAGTGAAGTTGACTGATTGTTGATGATCTTGCTAGGGGAGGTTCATATACTTTGGCATTGGTGGAGAGTGTTGATTAAGATAAATTCTTCTAAGGTCGTCATATCCTTTATTGTCACAGTGGAGCCCATCGATAATTCGATACCCTTAGATTTACCTATTTCGCTACCCGCCAACAAAATTCCAGAACAACGCGAAAAACTGGCAGTGCTTTTTTCAAGGGGAAAATTCAAAGAGGCGACCGGGTCCCAACTCATTAACAGGAGAAACCCCTTTAAGACGAAGATGTGGCGAAATATTATAAATTGCATGAGGCCCAAGACTTGGCGCAAGACCACCAAAACATTGATTACAATAGAGCTTTTTGATGCTCGGTAGAAAAGCCATTGGTATGTTCGTCAAAGTGGATGGCGTGGAAGCTTGCAAAAGGACATGCAAGAAGAATTCATAATTAACTCGGTGTTGTCGTGGAAACTTTGCAAACGGACATACAATAAGCAACTTGATTTTTTCGTAATCAACTCGGCGTTTCCGTCTCTGGCTGGTATTACAGCATTGCGCAGCGGCCGCCTGCTCGTGGTTGCCAACGCCGCTCTGAATTTACAACCAAACACATTGTTTTTGAAAAAAAAAAATAATAATAATTAAAAAGCAGCCTGCGAAAAAACCTGGACAATAACTTGACGAAGAACCTGCAAAATTTCTTGTCTAAGAAATTCACAACAAAACTTTTTAAAATTATTATATATGGAAGAGAAAGCTGATGCAACTCCCGAAGTTCCACCCGCTACGTTTGAAGTTCCAGCTGCACCCATTCAAGTTGGCTCAAAAGTCAAAACTAACATGGTTTGCAAAAAATTCTGGCCGAGTTGCGGCTGTTGAAATATTAGAAGAATATAACCGCTTATATACAACGGTGAAAGTCATCAGTGACAAGCTGACTCATCCCTGTGTAAAAGAACTTTCTTCACTTTGTATACTACTACTTCGCCTTATTTGCGCTTTATTAAAGGAAAATCAGAGAGAAAGTCGTCTTCGTAAATATTTAGCCCTAACCCACTCCAACACCCATATCCATCATTTTCCCATTACATTTTTTTAAAATTCATGTTGCTATTTAAAAAGCTGTTAATTTTCTTAATAGTATCATTGTTTGACCTTCTTGCATGAAACAAAGTTACGATTACGAAAACGAATACGATTCCCTAATGAATTAACCCCACAGAATTGGTGTTAAACATGCAAACTCGAATTCCCAGACATTGTTTTGTTAAAATGGAGAAAGTAAGTAACGAGTATCGTCGGAGAGGGGCCGATCGGGGGTCCGTACGCCAACAATCCATCCAGCTTAGCATGCGCAACCCTGGTGTGATACTAAAAGGTGGCCGGCTTTGTATGGTGTTTAGACTGTTAAAAATAAGGTCACTTACCACTCCATGAGAGCTTAGTGTACCCTCCAAATATGTACGTCCCTCCGACTCTTATTATTGTTACAGTTGGTCCTTTGTTGTCACATCCGCTGTGAAAAGTACTGGCAGCCCAGCCATCCACGGACGCCCGCCAACAGCGCTTCCATTGTGAAGATTCGCTTTGGGCGACTGGTTTGAGCCATGTGCTTAAATTAGCTAAGTGATGCACATTATCTCCTAAGATAACGGAGTCAGCCAGTCTCTTTGGTAAAACTGATAAAAGGGAAGAGAAAAGAAAAGGTGATTAGGGTAGCATCTTTTTTCGATGATATCACATTTGGAGGATGGAGCAATATGCCATCAAATCGATGGTATATTGCTGGCATCTTCTAAATATGGTATCGATCAACTCCGTTTCCAGGCGCGGCCGACTAGCTGATTATTCACCAGCGAACTCTGAAAAAAAAAAGCGTTCACGACTATGCGGAATAGCTGAATTTTAAACTAGAACTGAATGGAAGAATTGCAATAATACGTAAAACAACTCGCTCGATGGGGAGCACTCCAAGGAAAAACGATGAGGTAAAATTATTAAATAAGAATTAAGAAATACTTTGGATGAAAAATAAACAATGAATGAATTAGGGTTTCGTATAATGTGAAGGATTACTACTCAGCCTTAGTCAATAATTGCTAACGGTACTTTTAAGTAACTCGTTCTTAAAAGAAGTAATTATATATTAAGAAAAATAAGTAGGTTAAATGTGCAATAAAATGTAGACATAAATCAAATTATAGAATAGTGTATGTATGCATAAATAAGTTCGAATGTAATGTCCTACATCCTTATTCAAATCTAATCCTTATTATGAGCTAGATGATTTAAATTTACGCCATTTGCACTTTGGACGGAAGTGAGGTAGCGCATCAGTCTTAAGTGGCGGCTCATGATGCAGAGTTATTTAAAAGTCAAAAATGCCATTTTCAGGCCTTTTCCTTTTGCTGACTGCTTTGGGGGACCTAAACGATAGCCTAAATTCGCGCCAAAATCGTTAGTGAAAACGCCGTTACAAGAGTACGTGGAAGTTGCTCGCTCCGTACTGTTATAGGCTCTAGCAGAAGCAGAACATGAGGTATGACGTCATACAATGCTGGATACGAAAGCGGATTGCCGATCTCATTAGCCGCCCCTTTGAATGCTATGATGTCGCACGTCCTTAGGAAACTTCCCTAATTGATGTTTTAACAGTAAAGTAACTGACCTTTAGATTAGCTAATTATTTTCTCCTACCTTGGCAAGTTTTTCCATCGCCTGTATATCCTGCCCCGCAGGTACAGATATACGATCTGCGAGTATTGGAGCAGTTGGCATTGATGTCACACACAGGAGGAGAAGCACTGCACTCGTCAATGTCTAGAAAAAAAAAAAGCATATTGGGGTTCCACAAGGATCTATCGTAGGCTCCTTCCTAACAAAATAAAATCAAATAATAATAATAATGAATGAATAATGAAATTTTCAACCTTGTTCGATCCCCGTTGAAAACGGTCTGAATTTCCTCAACAGGGAACAAAAACGTCTTAAAGCTTTCTTCTTCTTTGCCATTGAGTTGTCCACGCCTGAACGCATCAACGTTTTTTATACATCTCTCATAATTCTTCTAAAGCAGAGTTTATCTATATAGGCTGTTTCAAAAACCTAGGGTTACCCGGTGCTGTTGCTTCATAATTTTGTTTTCCCTTTTCTACTGGTCTAGGTGGGCTATTAAGTAACTACAGCATTACTTTTCGCGGGTAAATAACGGACATCAAACGTATTAATTCTTAATGCGCGGCCCTTTAAAGAATTTCTATACACTTACATGTACCCCAAAATTTTCTAATAACAGAAGTATAACCCAAGGTATGATGTCATGCACTGCCCGTAATTAAACGGACTGGATTAGATGGATTGCCGGTTTTTACAGGTCGTTACAAGTCCCGGGGAATCTGCCATCTTCGTTGTTATCACGGGAAATCGACCTCGTTCCTCCGTGAGAAGAGTCTTTTTCCCCTTAAAATTTCTCTGTTTTTCTCTGCGTCTTTCCAGTTTAAATCTACCGGTTAATTTTTCATCCCCTCAGTCGCCGCATCTGTGACTAAATATGAAACATTTACGTCAGTCGTCTAATAATCATAAATTAACTTATAAGAGGGCGCAATCAGCTTAACGGCAGTCGCCGATTTATAACTGACTGTAAACTCACCGTTGGTCTCCATATTACAATAAGCCAAGACAGATGTACCAGATTTTATAGTGGAAAACCAGTATTCCCCGCTAACAGCGTGTCCTTCACTCCTCTTTATTTCGTCACAAGTCTCAGCTGGTAGTTCTTGAATCGAACCAAGGGGAACTGAAAGGTTAAAAAACAATTCTTCATTATCAGTTTGCCTTTACCCCTACATAGGTTTTTATTTTATGTACGGGGCGCTACTCAGCAAAGTTTTATACAGGGAGGTTCCTCCCCGACGTCCAACCCCTTACCCTTTTATATAACGCTTCTGACAAAAAAGGTACCCCTTTCGTATTTCTTCCATTCACGAATGCTACCTATTGAACATAGCAAGTACAGAACTACCGTAAAATCCTTACGTTAAAGCCCTGCTGGGCTTATATAACTTCAGAAGGGGTTTTGGATGGGCTTATAAACGAGGGGGAGGGGCTTATATCTGGGGTGGGAGGGGGTATAAGCGGAAAAATGTTTACCTGAACGGAATTAAAGCAAACATGCCATTACACCATTACATTTAGGGTTAAATTTTAATACATTTATCACAATAAACGGAGAATGTACTTCAAAAACATCTACAAAACCCTTAGAGCAACCGGAACGGAACATGACGAAAGTAAAAAAACTACAAAAAACGGTCCTCGCGGTAGCATTAACAAAGTTCATATTTGTATTTCAATCACAATTCCGTAGTTTCAAGTGGCTACTGTTTTACAAAACGCGCTTATACATAAGATGGGCGTATATCCGGGGGGGGGCTTATATCCAGAATAATATCTTCGTTAGCAAATGGATGGGCTTAAATCGGGGTGGGGGGCTTTAACGTGGGATTTTACGATAATTTTGCATCCCTCTTAACTTCTGTAAATGCTCTGTCTTTTAAACATGAATAAGCACAAAACTAGAAAAATTTCTGTCGGATTTTTCTCATCCATAAAATGCATCTGTTAGCTCTTTTAGGTCATTTTATAGGCCTGAAGAGATGACTAATTTTCCTAGCCTTTCATATACTTCAAACATTGAAATTTCTTCTCTCTTTTATATATAAGAGTACCGTACCCCCGGTACTTAATAATGGCTTACCTCGTTGTAAATCGCGTCGATAGTAAGATCTGTCTCGATTTCGAATAAAGTCCTCGGGCCTGGCTTCCTTTGTCCTGTTGTTAAACTCACACATAAGAAGAGACATAACCCAGTTAAAACTTTGGCATCGATTGTCTTCTCGACACTTGAATACGCACGTAGACGGAAGTTCAGCGAGAAGAGTGTCGTATACGTGTCCTCGTAACATCCAGCCCACAATGGAGCTCTCGGATCTACCACCTGCAGGACATTTTTGAGTTACTGCGCTGTGGAGCAGGAGAGCCAGAACGAAGATACGGAAAACTATTCTTGCGGTCATGTCTGGAACTAAAGAACACAAAAGTATTTTGTTAAAACACAAACTTTACAAAAGGTGAACTTAACAGACGGATTAATTAATTGTCCGTTTCCGCCTGAAGAACAATTTGCATACTGCAAAGCATCTAAAATTAAGCCAATTTTCAAACCGAATGTGATAATTTTTTTAGAAACCATAGCAAACACATTTCTGTTCGAAATAATCAATAGGAGGTCGATGTATTTTTGGATGGAAAAATATATAGAATAAATGAGGAGGTGGAGGTGGAGGAGGTGAATAAAAAACATTGAGGAGTTAAAATAATAAAAATTGTGGAGGAGGGAATAAAAACATCGAGGAGGGAAAATAATAAAATTGTGGAGGAGGGAATAAGAAAAAATTGTGGAGGGAAATATAATTGAAAAGGGAGAGTGGTAAGTAAAACGTTGTGCGCAGTGTAAAAAAAAAAAGAAGAAAAAAGAAAGGATCTCTTGCATTCTTTGACTATTTTAATAGAATCTTTAATCTAACCTTTTTGCAATTATTTTAATAAAGGGTCATAAAGTTGATTTCTTATATCTTAAGAAACGTGTCTGGATTCATTGCTAGTAATTATTAGTCGCGTGTTTCAAATGGCTTTTTGTGTGTTTTTATAATGATAAGTCAAGATGCTCCCTTGGGGTGAAAAAAACGATGGGCTTGTGAACTCGCATAATTACCTGACTAACGGCGCGTGAGAGGCTGAGACTTCAATAGTTTTTCATTTCCTCGAGATAGAAACGCGGTTCTGTGATAGTCAGACAAAACTGAAATAGAGAATTTTCAGCTCCCCTTTGTGTATATGTGTGTTTGTTTTGTTTATATATTCGAGTTTTAGCGCTAAATAAGAAGACATTATCTAAATTGAAATAAAGACTTTTCAACTCCACTTTGTGTATGTGTTTTGTTTATATATCTGAGTTTTAGCGCTAAATAAGATATAGAAAGCCGTTTCTCGCGTTGCTAGGTGATCGCTTCTCTTATTCCTATTTTCCTTTTAATAGACGGTCCGTAAACCGAGCTCAAGTTACATCACGGGCAAGTCGAGGCAAGCCTATTGTACCTATTGTAGTATTCGCTCATTAGTAAACCTATACCGAATTAGTATGAAGGAAGACCCTCATAAGTATGGAGGAAGGCACTTTTTCCCTAGGTTATAACAATAGGTGACGTCATGGACTCGACCGTTATACATATTAATTAAGGGAAGGCACCAACGGGGCTTAATTTTGCTGAAGCCCTACGACTTATAGCTGTTTTAAAATTCAAAATACAAGATGGTCGTGATTATAACTAGCTAAACGCAAATAATTGTTGACTCCCGCAGATGACAATTATTATCAAAAAACCAGAATTGCTTGAAACTTTCACTAGTGCTCTTCACCCACACCCCGCGAAAAAATAATCCTAGTGCTAAATTTTTAAGTTAAGAGAAAACTTTGATCATTAAAACCGAGAAAAATGAAAGAACTATAAAAGCAAGTGAAATTGAGAAAACTTAAAAATAACCTCAGAAAGCACAGGCGGCCCAGACGTAGTATGTGTCACTGAATGAATATATTAATAATATTCACATGGACAAATTAATGCGATGAGTCGTCGAAACTCCAATGAACTAAAATGGTCCAAAAATTAAAATATAACAAAATAAAGCTAAGATACCTTTAACTGAACGTATCCTTGTCTTTCCTGGCCGGTTTAAGTGGCATTTTGTTGAGTTATGCAATTGTAGGTACTATCCACTATAGAAGAATTAAAGGCTGGATACAAAACAAACAGACCATCTCCACGCGCCTTCACACGAAGCGCTATAAATTCGAGAATAATCGACGAATCCGCTCCAAATAACCATCGGCTAATCCGCAGGTAACGTGTGCTCCTGCTTCTGGCTCGCTTGCTCCACAAAACCCATCGCAACTGCACAATAATTGCTCGCTCATCAACAACCACTGTTGACCTTTACGCTTCGATATGACCGCAAACGACCAGGTATAATACGCGACGTGAATATTCAAGCTTAGCGACCGCGTCCGCGCGACAATGCAGCACTTGCTATGGGAGGGATGGTACTATTGCTTCTAGGTCAATCAATCGGGAAAATAATATTAAAGCCCTTATAATTTTTAAAAAGATCCAATTTGCCCTAGGAGCACCGAACAGATACGAATCTTATAGCGGAGCTAAAAAAAATGAGCAGCAGTGAAAAAAGTGAACAAGAACATGTACCACATTTTCTCCATAAAAAGTGAAAACCAGGACGTTTTCTGGACGTTTCACGTTGCAGTCATGCAAATCAACGGCAAGGAAATGTACAAGAAAGTGTTCTGCAATTAGACCTATTGTTGTTTTTCACAGTTCTGGTCAAGGGCATCCAACTTTTAATTTTTTCACATTTCACTCACCGGGTTAGGCTATTTTTCGTAGAGAGTAAAATGGAATCCTAAAATTTTCGGATTCAAAAATAGGGGGCTTATATTCGGAGGGGCTTATCTACGGAGGGAAATTTGCGTTTCAAAATCGATTGGGCTAGCCTTATATTTGGAAGTAAATTTACCGTTTTTGCTATGTTTTACTTTGTATTTGAGGGCAATTTTCCCAACCTCGTTCCCAGGGCTTT